GAAAAATTATACTCACCTAGCTTTCTCCGATGCTTCAAGAATTTTATTAACGACTTCCGCATTTGTGGTCAGAAGCTCCACTAAAAATGATCACAAAAACAAGTTTTATAACAAATAATCTATAAAAAAATATGCATTCAGTCGATATCTCTTAAGCTCAGTATTTGAAACAATCATGATTGATGTAACAAAAATGATTTAAAAGAAATAAGAAATAGAATAACCCGTATCTTTTCTATTATTCAAACTCGCACTTACGCATGATATCAGATGGGTTGTAATGGTCAGGAAAGTTCAAGCCCAGTCCACCAAAATACTGGAGAGCTTTGTGAGCGTCGCCAAAGTACGCTGGCTAGAATGAATACAAACCTCTAAATAATTACTAGTTTGAGACTTTTTTCTTCAGCGAAGGCGAGATCAACTATCACTTGATTTCGGTGGTTTTCGAAACAAAACTTACAAAATTGTGTACGTCATTAGATAATACAAAGTAAATTTGTATATATTATTACACATAATTTTATTTGAACTCACTCGACCATTAACAAGCAACAGTAGGGACGAAAAAATGTGAAAAATGTGACTGGAGGGCTGATGAATAGTGGTCAGTATAATCTTGTTATACTGAGAAGCAAAATCCCATAATTCCTGCATTAACACATGCGCAGTGCTAGAATCAAGACCGGAAGTGGGTTCCTGGAAGGAAAAAAGCCACATACAGTCATGTTTTTTTCAGAGCATATCTTTAAGTAATATCTTGATGAAAAAATGAGCTATTTTCCTTTTCTTTATTTAAGCTACTGAATTTTTCTTCATTTTTATTCCCTAAAATACACATGTAAGTTCAGTAAGCATGGTTTGAGTCTAATTAGTCAAATAGATCATGTTCAGGCGTTTAGCAGCTGTTCACATTCAATCAAAAAACGAGACTGGAAGCAGACACACTCACGTCTATCAACATAATGTTAGGATCTGTAAGCAGTTCACATGCAATATTCGCACGCTTCTTCTCTCCTCCGCTTAGTCCGGGGTGCATGAAATCCCCAATCACTGAAATCAGACATGAAAAATCTCTATTGTGTAAAGGACACGACACTTGACACAAAAGGGCAAAAGGATCACTTCATTATAAATAGGGATTTGACCTATAGGACCGGGCTTGGTTTTTTTCTCTACAAAAACCTTGTCGATTTCCGTTCTGATTAATGACATTAGGCTAAAAACATCTAACAATTTGTTTTTCCTAAATCTTTATTTCAGTGAGTAGAGGTAGGAGGAACCCTTACATTGATTTTCTGAGTTAGTTATCTCCAAATGTAATAATTGATATTTTTCTTTACTTGCATTGTACATAATGGTAATGTTTACTGCCTCTGAAATTCTATTCTTTATGTCTAGGCTATTTTATCTATGAATATAATGAAACATGCCGTTAATGTGTGCAAATTATATAGGCCTAAATCAAATCCGAAGGAGTACAGTCACTGATATATGTACCCAAAATCAATGTTATTTTAAAAATTCTGAGGAATATATACAATTGAAATTCATCGCAACTCAATGCTGCCAAGAATACCTGTATTGAGTAACACAGAGTGAGTTATTTTTGTCCTCAGAGAAAGTGTGCTTATACTGAGGTTTGTTCCGCCTGACTGACAACTGTACATTGGATTTTTACGATTTGATATCTCTTGATAATGTTTCTTATATCAAGAATGGGCATGCATAAAGGATAGATAATTGAAAGAAAATAAATAAGTTTATAAAAAAAATATCAAAAATGTCTTTGAAAAGGCGAAAATTAAAAAAAAAATTAAAAGTGTGGTACCAGGTGGATTCGAACCCCCGACTTTAAAATGTTTGTTTAAACGGTATAAAAGTCAGCTCCTATATCAACTGAGCTAGTCTGACCATTAAGTATTTTTGGCATAAATTTGAAGCAGATTATCAAAATCAGGTTTCCTTATTTTTTGTAGGATTTTTGTGAATTTCGACCTTAGGGCAGGGCTGCCCCTAAAAAAATCCTATATCAAATTATTCTTTACATCCAAACCTATCAAAATATCACAATATTATTTAGGGGCAGGCCTGCCCTGAAGGACTTCTAGGCCAAAATTCCTGCAAAAATCAATGCTTTAACGGACAAAATGATGTTTCAGTCAACTTCAGAGGTTTATTGTAAAGTTGTAAATAATAAATTTTAGGTGTAAAGTACAAATTTGAAAAATTTAGATATATATACGTTAGAAAACAACAAATAAAGATTATTTTTTAAATGTCACTTTTTCCGGGAAATTGTTCTCTCCTATAGGTCAATTCTTTTGTCAAAGTGAATACATCCTTTGTCTTCAAAAGGAAATAAAACAAATAAATAAATCAATAAAATCTTAGTAAAGTAAAGATATTAAGGGGGTCATGTATATGAATATTAATTACAGGTAATAAGGTATAGTGAATTTAACGTTACATTTGAAAATCGATTCAATTTCTTAATAGAATGCTGTTCTCTTACCAGTGTCCAAACATTTACGTAGGTGGAGTGCATCTACAATTTCATCGATTCGCGCCATTTTCGCTGCTTTCGACACGCTATCCGGAAGTCGTATCATGGCGGTGAACTGGAATTTTGAAAATATTTTTAGGTGGAAAATAAGTTCAATGCATTAAATTCATTTGATTTTGAAGAAAAGAAATGTTAATAGAATTATTTTATGTTTCGTTAGAGAAAAAAAAAATCAGAAACAATTTTTTGTCGTTTTGCAGTCAGCAGTCCGCTTACGCCGCGGAGTTACAAGATGTATATATTTTTCTTCTATGTTGCTTTCGTTGATTGTAAATACGGGAAATCCCGTACATACAACCAACAAAAGCATTTATTGGTTTTTTTTATACATGTATACCGCTTACATAGAGAGTTTCCCTTAGCGTCAGTCTAGACAAAAATGTGTCACTCTGGAGAACATACGCCAATTTCCGCCGCTGGAGTTTTGTGAAGGGATTCCCATTCAGAGTTATCGTTCCTGATGTCAGTGTAAGATTTCCCGCCAAAACGTTAAGAAGAGAAGTTTTTCCCGACCCTGTAACGCAGCACAGTTAAGGTTACAAAAAGGAGGCGGAGCTTAATTTGTTCGGGAAAACTTGACTATGACATCATACACAATATACGTCATACAACATTTCTTTAAAATACCACAAAATGACTTTATCTGCTAATTTAACCAGCAAGAAATCATCAAACTACATAAAAACTTACTAAAGCGTGTTGTTTTGTCGTTAGTTAAATCCCACATAACAAGTTATAAACAAGTCACTGATCGCAATATACTTGTTAATATGACGTTATTCCTTACAATGTGACGTAGTTTGTATGCAGTGAGAGACAAATCAAGTAATATTTTCTTAGCAAAATATGTATTCTATAATTAAATGAAATATTATTTACAGATATTCTATGGGCCAATAACTTGAATTTAATGTCTTCTTCACTATTTTATTAATATGTTTTCTGTACATTACGTATTTAATTTACACTGCCGTATATTTGTATGCAAGTGCATCGGAGGGTAATGTGGGGGGGTCTTAATAAATCGATCTAGTGCAAGGGCATACACTCTATGGATCAAAGTAAGCTTTTACATTTCAACTATAAAACTATTAAGGTATCTGAAAAGTGCTGCGATCCTGATGAAATCTTAAAAACAATTTAATTAATATCAATATTTCATGCCGCTGACCAGCAAAAAATATAGCATTCGGTCAAACAATTATAATTTTAACACTGAAATTGCAGAATTTAGACAGGATCGCAGCACTTTTTAGAAACTACAATGCGTGCTGAAAATATTTATATACTAAACTTGGAAATTTAACTTGGTTATGCCCTTGCACTAGTGATATTTATATGTAACATCAATACTTCAAGTCAATGTGCGAAAATCGCGTGACTGCCGCATCACGTGACTAGTCTAAATATCAAATATAATCGTCCTCGATATGTAATTATTAATCATAATTACAATTATCCTATATAAATAATGTACTAAAAATAATCGCCATCCCGATTACGAATACATTTTTAAATACAAAATTTAGTCGATATTTCCATTGCGCACCTTAACTGTACTGCGAATATAAATTCTAATTTGACAAGTTATATGTTTACTTCATTGCTTTTGAACCATTTTCCGTTTAATGAAACCAACTTTTAAAGTAAAATTTATTCAGGCCATTTTATCTACAGTTAAGCTAATGACAAATGACGTTCATCAGTAAGTTTGTTATTTCGCATGTTTGATTTTGTGTAAATTTTAATTCTACTACTAATGTATTAATCTTTTGATCATTTCTTAATTTTACCTCTTAACTTATTCCGAGGTCAAAGTTGGAACAAACTTAAATCAAAAACACGTTACTAACAGGTAATAAATACTTGAAACAGTACGGTCTTCCTTTTAAAGCCAGGAAAACTTTAATATTGTTTTCACTTTATAGATTTAGAACAAGAAGACAGTATGTCTTACGAAATAATCCAGAATTCAATGTCTTTACCTGTTGGGCCCATGATGGCCAACATCTGTCCACTTTTAGCTTTTCCATTTATGTTTGTTAAAATCGTTTTTTCTTTCAAGGTCAAGCAGATGTCTGTGAAGGTTAAAATGGCGTCCTTAGATCTTGTCTTCATGCTGTTTGGACAGAAAAAAATAAGTACAAGCAACATCCCAAAAAAATCTCAATGATATGGGCATCTGGGCAGAGAATGATTGCAATTTCCAAGTTCTGAACTTTCTATTCAGCAAGATACATAATACTATCCAAGAGATTAGATGCTGATTTTTTTTTCAAACAGATTGCATTGCACAGGATCACTCGAAAATAATCAAATGCAATACGTTGATGATCAAACTTACATATTAAACAGGCGCGTAGCATCGTTTTTGGAAGTGGGGGGGCCAACCTGAGCAAAAATTTTTTTACTTACCTGAAAAAGTTGACAAGCAAAAAAAACGAAAAATTAGGAGTTGCCCGAAGTCGAAAATCCTATTTCGTGGGGGGGGGGGGGGGGGGGGGGGGGGTAGTGGCTAACTTTTTTCAAGACCAACCATCTTTCATTTCAAACTTTTGGGGTACATTTTCCTTATAACACTACCCTTTGCTGAAATGTGGGGGGGGGGGGCAACCTTCCCTTCAGTAAACATTTTCTATAGTAAAGATAATGTCGGGGAGAAAAAGTGGGGGGGGCCTGCCCCCCCTTGCCCCCCCTGATACTACGCCCCTGTTAAAACTACAAAACTAAGCATTAATAATACGCTGCATCTGAAAATTACAATGGAATCCGATATTGTTAAATAAAATAACAGCAGCTTTCAAACGTTTACATGTACCCGTTTCTCCGATTTAAAATAAATAATCCTTAGTCATATCACGTCCTACAATGTCCAGTTTCTAGTTCAAATGGGACATTTAATGAAATTGCATATATAGGTTAAGTGTGCTCTATTTAAATTAAATGTTTTTGCTCAAGACATTAATGGGTAAAATACGTACTTGCATGCTTCAAAACGTGTTATGATCCACTAACTTTCCCGATAATCATCGAAGGATATGCATCTCCAAAAATATTTTTAACTGTTTGGGAATATGATCCTGTTTGTTCATGTGTAAAGTTTCTTTTTTCATTTGAAAGCATTATAACTTATTCCACGTGCTTGACCACGTGTAATGCTACTGGCCACGTGTTTACCCGATTTAAAAAATGCCGGTATGTATAATGATTTCGTAATGGTTCATTCGTCGGATTAAGAGTTTTCTCATTTAATTACAGGTATTTATCCCCCTCGGTCAATGTTTTCTTTTCTCCACGAGACATTTGTTAGATGCACAGCAAGCATGTTTACCTTTATGTAATATTAAAACATTAATCCCATAAGACGATCTTTTGTGCCATCGTT